CCCAGCCGCTACTAAACAGGGACAACAGAACCCAGACCACTGCTTCTGCGGGACACCTGTCCTACATGCCACTGCCTTTATTTTACAAAACATTAACTCGTCCTAGCCCCACAAACAAGCCCTAAAGGTACTATTATTTCCACTTTACAGAGGAAGCAGTGAGACTCAAGGTCACAGAGGGCAAGCAGCTCCCAAAAATGACCCCCCAGCTGCTCTCCTGCCGTAAGCCCGTCTTTCAGCCCATTCTCCGGATGGGGAGGGCGAGGCTCAGGACCTGGCTCTCCCACCAAGGCCACAAGGGGAGCACATGGTGGGCACTCCCCCTAATTTAGAAGACCCACCCTTGGGCCTGCCTGGTTCACACCCAGTCACTCAGGGGACCCCACATTTCCTCCAACTCCTCGGTGGGCGGGGCCTGCCCCAGATCCCCTGGGGAGTCCTCAGAGGATAGGTCTGCCCAGCACGGCACCCCTAGGGGACACCAAAGCCCCCTGGGGACCCCCCGGGGGACAGGGCCCGCCCCTGGGACGGAGAAAAGGAGAGGTGGCTTTGGGTAAGTCCCTAGCCTCGCTCAGACCCCCCAGGACTCCCCAGGCACTGGGTCCCCACATTCCCTTAGCGGGCGGGACTGAACAGGCCCCTTTGCCCTCAGTCTGCAGTGAAGTCCGGGCCCCACCTGGAACCCATATATTCCCTCTGGTTCCCCAAGACCTCCCGGCTCCTCCTCCCCCACAGTCCCCCGGGAAGACCAGGCTCCCGCCCGAGTCATCGGGGTGCGGGGCCAACTGAGAGCGCCCCAAATTCCCACCTGACCCGCGAGGCACCAGCCACCTCCCCTCGGAACCCCACCCCGGCTCGGGTAGGAGACGGCGCCTTTCTGCCCAATCCCCGCCCCGCCCCGCCCCGCCCCCGAACTCCCCAGGACTCGGCACGGGACCCGCGCAAAGTTCCACGGAGAACCGGCCACGCGAGTTGCCCAGGGACCCCCCGCCCCCCGCAGGCCCCTCCGCCAGCCTGAGCTTCCCAGTCTCTTCGGAGGCCAGGGAGCCGCCCCCAAATTTTCTCCCAGGACGCCCGAACACCCCAACGCACCCGGGGAGCTCCCCGTACCCCCTCTGGGGCGGGGCCTCGCCTGGTGCACACCCAGTCACCCCGGGGACCCCAGATCTCCCCAAACCCTTGGTGGGCGGGGCCTGCCCATCGCCACCTGTCGCGCAGCGGGGGGTGGACCCAGATCCCCTGGGGAGCCCTCAGAGGTGAGGTCGGCCCAACACGGCACCCCTAGGGGGCACCCAAAGCCCCCTGGGGACCCGCCCGGGGACTCCTCCGGTGGGTGGCGCCGCCCGGCGAGCACACCGCGCTCGGGGCCTCCCAAAGCCCCCTGTTCATCCTCCAGGGGACCCCCCCTTGCAAGAGCACCCACAAGACTTTGCCCACCTCGGGCGTGGCCACCTCCTCCCGCTCGGAGATCTAAGCCCCACTTCTCTTATCCAGCTCCAGCGCGCGGACGCTGTCGATTATTGCTCAAGCGGTCATTGAGCTCGCGCAGCTCCTCCTTCTCCTGCAGCCTCGACAGGCGCGTGGGCGACAGCGGCGTGGCGGGCCCGCCCTTGCGGCCGGACAGCGGCGTGGCCGTGGCCATGGCGGCGGCAGCGGCGGCGTCGGCGGCTCCTCGGGGCCCGCGCGGTTCCCCACGGCGGCCGGGGCTCGGCGGGCTCATTCAATCCGCGCCGCCGACCAAGATGGCGCCGGCCGCCCGCGGCCGCCCGCGCTAGGCAGCCTGGAATTTGTAGTCCGGCAGAGTGCCCTGCGGGGCATGCCGGGAGCTGAAGTCCGGCGAGGGCTGGGAGGCGGGGTGGGGACTCCCGCTCAGCCTCTTGCTGTTTTACTAGCTGTTCATTAAACAGCTAGCAGAAGGCCTCGGGTCCAGAGCCAAACCGTTCAAAATCGCAGCTTCTTGCCCTAGCCGGTTTGGCTCAGTGGATAGAGCATCAGCCTGCAAACTAAGGAGTCCCGGGTTCGATTCAGGTCAAGGGCGCATTCCTGGGTTGCGGGCTGGAACCCCAGTGAGGGGCCTGCAAGAGGCAGTCAATCAATGATTCTCTCTCATCATTGATGTTTCTCTCTCTCCCTCTTCCTTCCTCTATGAAATCAATAAAAAAGTATTTTTTTTAAAAATCGCAACTCCACCACTGAGGTGTGACACTGGGTTTCTTTACAGTGCCTCAGTTTCCCCACTCGTATCACCTACCAATCTCTTTGAAGTCTTATTAAAAGTAAAAATGGTGAAAAACCCTTAAAAACATGCTCAGTGATCTCACCCATACCTGATTTTAAAAAGACACACACACACGAAAAACATAAAAACAAACCACAAGCTCATAGATACAGAAAACAGATGGGGGCAGGCACGAAATGGATGACGGGGGTCTAAAGGCACAAACTTCCAGTTTTAAGATAAATAAGTAATTGGTGATGTGATGTACAGCATGGCTATAGTTAACAATACTCTGTATTTGAAAGTTGCTAAGAGAGACCTTTAAAGTTCTCATCACAAGAAAAACATGGCAACTATGTATGGATGTTAACTAGACTTATGGTGGTGATCATTTCCCAATATATACAAATATTGAATCATTCGGTTGTACACCTGAAACTGTTATTATATTTAATTAAGAAAAAACATGTTCAGCCCTACCTGGTTTGCCTCAGAGCGTCAGCCTGTGGACTGAGGGGTCCTGGGTTCGATTCCGGTCAAGGGCACATGCCCGGGTTGCGGGCTCGGCCCCCGGTGAGGGGCGTGCAGGAGGCAGCCATCAATGGTTCACTCTCATCATTGATGTTTCTATCTCTCTTTCCTCTCTCCCTTCCTCTCTGAAATCAATAAAAATCTTTAAAAAAGAAAAAAACATGTTCAGTGAAAGAAACTAGACACAAAGGCCAAATACTATATGATTCCACTTATATAAACAGTCCAGAAGAGGCAAATTGATAAAGTAGGGTCTGGGCACTGTGGAATTTGGGCCCCATCCCTCGCTGTGGTGGAGGGCCATTCTGTTCCTTCGAGGATGTGGAGCAACATCTTTGCTCTCTCCCCACCACTACCTGATGTCACTAGCATCACCACCACCTCCAGTCGGGGCAACCAAATACGTCTCCCGATATTGCCCCATGTCACCTAGGGGGCAAATTGCCCCCCAGTGAAGAAGTACTTCCTGCCCAGCCGGCATGGCTCAGTGGTTGAGCATCGACCTATGAACCAGGAGGTCACAGTTTGATTCCTAGTCAGGGCACATGCCCGGGTTGCGGGCTCGATCCCCAGTGTGGGGTGTGCAGGAGGCAGCCGATCGATGAGTCTCTCTCATCATTGATATTTCTATCTCTCTCCCTCTCCTTTCCTCTCTGAAATCAATAAAAAATATATTTTTTAAAAAAGTACTTCCTTTCTGTTGCTCTGGAACTTGCCAGGTGTTCCTTCTGCCAGAACCCCTCCTTCCCACACATGCACCTGGGGCATTGGTCCAGCCTTCCTCAGGGACCCGGCCAACCCACCAGGGAAGAGTACGCACCTGTCTTGAACACCTGAAAGAGGGCCCAGCCTTAGAACCCAGACAGGCACGAGTGAATCCCTGGCTAGACTGTGACTGTGCTGCTTTCTGAAAAGTTACCTTGTGTCTGTGGACCCACTGTTTTTTTCTCCTACTGGTAGAAATAGAAAATAGTTATGACAGTTGGGATTTAAATAAAAATATGAATAAGTGACACTACAGGAGGCAGGGTCAAGGGGAGAATATGATTGAGGTTTGGGGTGGCATGGAGTCACCTTTCCTACCCACCCCCCCAGACTGAGCTGCAAACCACTCCCCATTGAAGTCCCCGGGGCCACCTAAGGACCTGATGCCCACTCACCGGGTCCCACCGCTGCCCATGGCGCTGGCCCCGCCTGGCACTTGCCATGCCCACGCTGGCGGCGCGGGCTGGCCTGGCCTGTCTGCCCCTCTGTCCCATAGAGTCTGGCCCCTACTCCCGGTCCCGATCTCTCAGCGCCCCACTTGGCGAGACCCCCACCCCCCACCCGGGAGCTGGACTCCAAGTCCCAGAAAGCCCCGCGCTTCCCGTGGGTGGGGCCCAAGCTCCCGCTCCTGTGCACAGTTTGGGAGGCGTTGGCAATTTTCAAATTTTGGCGCTAAGCGGGCGGGGCGGCGACAGATGCGCCGTGATCGCCCCCTTCCCCGAGACCTGGGCCCCGGCCGAGTTGGCCCGTCCACCCCGCGGGCTCCCCAGGCACGACACGCCGCGGGGTCTTCGGGCCCATTTCCAAGACGGGAAACTGAGGCACACAGGGATTTTGATTTTGATTTGGGGGGGGGGGACCAGTCCCGGGACTCCAGCAGGGGTGGCGGGGTCCGGATTGGAATCTGGGGCACTGGGACCCCCGGGAGCTGGGAAGCACGGGCCGACCGCGGTCTGTCTG